TTATATGCAAGCATCATTTGTTTAGCACGCTGTTCCTAAACCCTAAACCCCTAAGCCGTAAGCAGTAGTTTTTAAAAGCTCAACCTTCTGATGCTCTAACGGATGAGACAGCGACTGTCATTGCAGAAGCTACAAATCTTGGAGGAGACCCCCACTGACTCCATTCGGATCGGTCGGCAGGGCTTTGTTGCCAAGGTTTTTGGTTCTGTGATCCGTTCTCGTGTCTGGAATGAATATTGAAATTCGATGGACGTCGCAGGTCAGGGTATTGTAATACGTGTACCTGACCCTGGTCTGACGTATTAAAATAGTTAAGATATTCAGAAAATAGTTGCGTTTGGTCATGCCTGACAGCGCATATTCTGATGAGACTACATCGACGATAGTTCGTGCACATAAGCAAGTAAATTTTGACGAGGCTTTGATACTTGCATTTTCCTTGAAAGGTTTGTCGTGCTACTTTGTTCTGCCTGAGCTATGTATCGTCCAGGCTCATGGCCCATTTGTGCTAATCACTGCTTGATTTCCTGGCAGTGAGCTTACAACAATAAGTTCTCGAAGATATTAGTGGTGTCCCTCTGTAGTCGCTTTTAGTGGTTGCGAGCTGGGATAAGTATGTGCCGTCAATTTTTGTGGTCAGTATAGAAGCTAGTCCCATAGCCGGTCTTCTTGCCTTAGTTCTAGTCGCCGCATTCTCACAGTTCTGCGTTTGTTGGCTCACTTATCTTGCCAGTGGTTTCGGATTGCTCTGCGGTTGCTGCAGTGACTACCTTCTGAACATGATTTTATTGGCGAGTGAATTCAATGGATGTATATGTATTGCTTCTATTGTTCTGATGTTTTAGGGCCTTGCCAGGCCCTGTGGTCTGCAGGTTGTTTTGGTTACACAGGTGTGACATGGCTGTTTGGCCCTGCCTGAAATACCCTTGAAATGCGCTCGCTCTGTGCTTACGCTGCACTTGCTGTGCGCTTGCTCTGCGTCTCTGCAAAACTGGTGCAGATCCTCCTGATATGCATGAGTTGGGCGGTTCATTGCACTGCATCTGCAATTCGCCCTTCGCTTGCGTGGCTTGTTTCCTGTAATGGGCTTCACTTGCGCTAGAAACGCACTTGATCCGCGTTCGGTCTGCGGTTTCTCTTAACTCATGCATGCAATCATCCTTACCGCACAATCTGCCTGAACATTGAAATGCGCATCAATTGCTTTCAAAGGCACTTGTGAGCAAGTGCAGCGCGCATGAAATGCGCCTCAAAGACAGCTGAGGTGCACTTGAGACGCGCTTGAAACCCGCTTGATCTGTGATTGCTCGTTGGTTTCGTTGAAGCCCCCGCAATCCTCAATGCGCTTGAAATGCGCTTGAAACGCGCGTGATCTGTATTTGCTTTTGGCTCCGCTTTAAACGATGGGAACCCTCCTTACCATTGAAATGCGCTTGAAATGCGCTTGAAACGCGCTTGATCTGTGATTGCTCTTTGGTTTCGTTGAAGCCCCTGCAATCCTCATTATCATTGAAATGCGCTTGAAACGCGCTTGATCTGTGTTTGGTTTTGGCTCCGTTTTAAACGATGGGAACCCTCCTTACCATTGAAATGCGCTTGAAATGCGCTTGAAACGCGCTTGATCTGTGATTGCTCTTTTGTTTCTTTGAAGCCCCTGTAATCCTCATTATCATTGAAATGCGCTTGAAACGCGCTTGGAACGCGCTTGATCTGTGTTTGGCTTTGGCTTCGTTCGTTGTAGACTATGGAATCCTGGTTACCATGGCAATGTGCTTGAGACGAGCTTGATCTGTGATAGCTCTTTGGTTTCTTTGAAGCCCCTGCAATCCTCATTATCATTGAAATGCGCTTGAAATGCGCTTGAAACGCGCTTGATCTGTATTTGCTTTTGGCTCCGCTTTAAACGATGGGAACCCTCCTTACCATTGAAATGCGCTTGAAATGCGCTTGAAACGCGCTTGATCTGTGATTGCTCTTTGGTTTCGTTGAGGCCCCTGCAATCCTCATTATCATTGAAATGCGCTTGAAATGCGCTTGAAACGCGCTTGATCTGTATTTGCTTTTGGCTCCGTTTTAAACGATGGGAACCCTCCTTACCATTGAAATGCGCTTGAAACGCGCTTGATCTGTGATTGCTCTTTGGTTTCGTTGAAGCCCCTGCAATCCTCATTATCATTGAAATGCGCTTGAAACGCGCTTGCAACGCGCTTGATCTGTATTTGGTTTTGGCTTCGTTCTAACCTATGTATTTGGAATCCTCCTTACCATTGAACTGTGCTTGAAACACGCTGGAAGCTCGCTTGATCTGTGATTGCTCTTTGGTGTCTTTGGAAGCTCTTGTGATCATCATTACCATTGAAATGCGCTTGAATCGCCCCTGAAACGCGCTTCGGTCTGTGGTCTCCCCACAACCCCTCTTATGAGCAGACCCCTTCTTAGAGAAGCACAGACATCGTGCACATATGTGCACATGAGAGACGTCTGGTTCGGTTTAACCGCGCCAAACCTACGGACATAGGTCAGTTTAACCCAAACAGTCACAAGCCAAGCCCTCAACTTCAAGCCCTTTATGCACCATGGAAGCAAAGATGTTGCATTGGCCAGCACTGCAACACAATCCAAGTTCGCATGGAACAGCTTGGAAAAGCTGGGCCTCCAAAACATGACACATGACTTGGATTTGAGGGGTTGTGAAACAGAAACGTTTGATCCGTGGTTCCTAATTTCGATGTTAATTTCGCGACGGATGTTGAAAAATAGACAGCTCCGCAATCTTCACACATGACCTCTGCCAAAATCAGACCCGGCCAGAGCCCCTAGGTACGCGTATCCCCGCTGGTAGGGTATCCCCGCTTAAGTTGCTCCCCAAACTTAGACCCTAGACCTAACCGACCCAGCTGCATCATCCGCCCCAGGTGGATCCGAACATGGTCAAGGCAGGTGGACGCCCAGGAGAAGCAGAAGAAAAGAAGTTGTTGTTGTTGTTGTTGTTGTACTAGTAGTAGTAGCAGTAGTAGTAGTAGTAGCAGCAGCAGCAGTAGTAGTAGTAGTAGCAGTAGCAGTAGTAGTCGTAGTAGTAGTAGTAGTAGTAGTAGTAGTAGTAGTAGTAGTCGTAGTCGTAGTCGTAGTCGTAGTCGTAGTAGTAGTAGTAGTAGTAGTAGTAGTAGTAGTAGTAGTCGTAGTCGTAGTCGTAGTCGTAGTCGTAGTCGTAGTAGTAGTAGTAGTAGTAGTAGTAGTAGTAGTAGTAGTAGTAGCGGCAGTAGTAGTAGTAGTAGTAGTAGTAGTAGTAGTAGTAGTAGTAGTGGTAGTAGTGGTAGTAGTAGTAGTAGTAGTAGTAGTAGTAGTAGCACAAGTACAAGTACAAGTGCAGTAGCAATCATCCTCCTGATGCTACAGCTCCTGCTCCTGCGCCTGCTCCTGCTCCTGCTCCGGCTCCTGCTCCTACTGCTTCTACTGCTGCTTCGGCTGCCACTTCAGGTGCCAAGATGCTTAGGCTTTCGGCGATAGGTTTTGCGATTCGGATGTGGGAGCGAGCACGTTTCCTGTCGCCTGGTTCTGTGACTTGCCGGGCCCAGCTTTCTCCCTTAAGCCGCATCTAGCCGCATCTAGGATGCTCAGCAGTACCCTTATTCCCTTTTTGTAGCCCTAGGTTCCTTATAAAGTTACCCAATACCAAAAAGGTCGCAGGCCCAAGGGAAGAACTCCATCCCACCTGAGCCCTAAACCCTAAAGCCTAAGCCCAAGCACAACCTGGCTCCACCTAACAGGTATTCCGACTGTAGCAAGGAGGAAAAGGGCCCTCAAAAAAAAAAACAAGCACAAACCAGTTATGTGCAAATCATGCTCTGACGCTCGACTCGCTGAACCTGAAGCTTTGACAGCTTTGAGGAATACAGGGGGGGCGTTTTAATTTACATCCCCTTTTCTACAACAATGCTATCATCTAGCCGCAATGCCCCTACTGGGAACATGTACGGTTCAGACTGACTCGGTACCAAACACTTCTGGGTTAGAAGTTTGGGATTCAGGATTGGCGATGCGTTTAGCCCGGGGCCTCAAGCAAGCAGCGCCTTGGACAGGTTGCACGGTTGGCTGAAGGAGACGCCTGCTTCGAAGGCAGTGCTTCCTGGGGAGTTGGGCTTCCTCTTTGGGGGTTCAGGGTCTAGCTAGGGGTTTCCGAAAATGGGGGGACCCTAACATATGATATAGTACTCTAAAAAGTAAGACCCTCATTATAAAGACCCCAAAATAAGGTACCCCCCCCATACTTTTCGGAAATGCCTTTGCTAGGGACATTGGCATTCATGTCCTTGCAGCAAAGAAGGTCGTGCGGGACGTTCTAAGTGACGGAATCGCGACAACAGCAGAGCTGCATGAAGTATTCACTTTCATGATAATGATGCTTGGTGCACTCGTTGCTTTCATATGAGTAGTAATAACAATAGCTAAGTAGCTGAGTGGTACTCCTTACACTTTTTGTGCTAATCTTACCCACTATAAACTGAAAGTGTACACTGTTGGGGGCTTATGAACTCAGCAACTAAGATAGTGATACTCGTAATAACAATGATGCCTGGTGCTAAAACCTTGGAGATGTTCGCCTGCAGATGGACACCGCTAGCTCTTCGGCAGTGTTAGGGAGACCCCCTAAAGGGGGTGCTTCTTGACCCTACTTCTGGCTCTCTTGACAGGACTGCTTATAGGCCCAAGAATATACTACGTGTGTACATGGGCCGGTTCAAAATCACAGAGGTAGCATCCCCCTTGTTTGTATTTGCTGTGCAGCGATTAAGCTCAAGACCCTCCCGAGCCTCAGAAGAAGACTCTGAGGGTTTTGAATCAAGACTTTTGCGGGTTCGAGCTTGGCAGCCGAAGAAAACATGTTCTTCGAATCTCATGATTTCAGAATGTAGTGCGATCTGTTGTAGCTCTTGTGTGTGGCAGAAGCCTTACATGTTCACCACGTCGGCGGTCTATTTTTCCACAGCAGCTTTCGTGATATGAAAAGGCGTACTGGTGGCGAGATATTCCCAAATCTTGCTATCTATTTGGAGGAGATAAAGTACTATCTCGCTGATGTGCTCAATGATGATTGGCAAAGGCTGCTCAAGCTGGCGGCAGGCAATGCGGGAAGCAATGCCGAACCTCTGATCTTAGCGCCGGAGAAATCGGAGAAAGTGCTGGAGCCAGACATTGAGGATGCTATTAGGTCTATGCAGAGCAACCACATACTTTTCTCACGCAAAAGCAAAAGTCCGCTGATGCTTATCGTTGAGAAGCCAACAGAGATGCAGCGCAAGCTCATGTACCAGGTGGAACGTCTACAGTTTCTTTGTAAAGGAAGGGCGACAGTGTTTCCATACCCTCAGCTTACGCAGCAGCTGAGATGGCGGCTTCAACACGAGGGTCACACGAGGTTGGGAGCAAGGGAGCTGCGCAACTTGGTGTCGCCGTATTATGATTTTGTGTTGGAGACTGAGCCGCAGTGGTTTCACCAGATCCGGCAAGTGGAGAATGGGCTGGAGATGGTGTCGCCGTTCTACAACGATTACACTGTCACACAAAAAGTGCCATACGCAATGCGCTCCATCGAGGAAGCTGGAGGCATGTTCCGCCTTGCTCGATGTGCCGCTGTGGTGATGCTCTTCTCCGATGAACGAGGCGATTTTGTTTGGCTCGTGTGGGAAGCTAAAATCGCGCCGACGCCACGTTCTCGCGCACGAAGCACGCCACGAACATGGTGCGAAACGCATGGTATTCGCGGGGCGAAAGACCTATGCGGCAAACGCGGCATTGGTGAGAAGAACGACGGAGGCCAATGGGGTTTCCCAGCTGGTCATGTGATACGCAAAGTGGATGGAGACTTGTTGGGCACAGCACAAAGAGAATGGAACGAAGAGGTGCTGGGATTTGAGTTCGAAGCAAGCAGGGATTTTCGCGTACAACCTGTCGTGCTGCCCTTCCTTGCGAGTGACAGCAGGCAGTACCCTGTGCAAACATACGTATATGCAAAGGCCACATCCCAGTTCTTTGAATCCACTCTTGCTGGACGAGATCGCTTCCAGTTCGAACTGCCCCCAAATTCCATCCGGAGCTCAAGCCAGCCAAGCAATCAAGATTACCGCAGATTGAACACTGATCCCACGTCGGTCTTTGTGGAGCATGAGTGGGGAGCTTGGGCCCAGATCAAGGCAGATGGCTGGGAAGTCCCCGAAGGGCAAGGACCTCTTGGAAGTACGGTTGATTGGGAGAACAGCCAGGCACTTAAGACGCACTGGCCACACATCAAAGAGTATGTGTTGAGCCAACCACTTGTGTTGCAGACTACTGAGAGTAAGAAAAGAAGAGTTGCCGCCAAACGACACTCAAGAATTAGCTGGACTACCATGAAGCGTCGCCGATCAAAGCGACATGTCTTGCAGACTGCTAAAGGTAGAAACAGAGGATCTGCAAATCGACGCTCTCAACGAGGAGCTCGTGCCAGCAATCGCGGCGGATCAAGATGACAATCGGCGGAGGCGTAACAAGACTGGAGTTGCATGCCGCCATTAAGAATATTATTAGTGTAAATTATTCCGACGCAAATAAGCCCGAGCCCAGTAGCATGCAAGCATTCTCCCTGCCGTTTTGAACCTGTACGCGTGAATGGCTTAGACCCGGCTGGGCTAGTTTTAGGGATGTAGAGTTCGTGTCAAAATATGCTTCATGAAGTTGCCGTTTCGTACGTTAACCTGCTACCTCGACCCCAACTACTTGTCATCATTGTTGACTGCGACTGCTATGTTAACACCGAAACTTTGGAATATCTCGTTGGTTCAAGGGCTGCTTTGGCGGAGTTCCGGCCTTGATCTAGCTTTCTGGCTCTATGCCTTGCTTGCGTGCGAGCTCCCGGCGCCTCCCTGCTGAAATGGAGTCGAACTTCAGTCCCTGATGAGGGTTCAGGGTTTAGGGTCGGCCAAACTCAGCCAAGGCAACCCAAACCCCAACTCCTTGAATGGTAGACAACTTAAACTCGAAGCCTCCCAACCCCGACCCACCCTCTCTCCCTTCGAAAAGGCCATCCGCGAGACATTGAGAGGAGGAGCAAAGGCGGGTGGTGATTCAGTGGTGCTTTGAAGTGAGTCGGGGCTTAGGGGTAGAGTTCACAGGCATTCGGGCTTGCGGGGTTTGGACCTGCCGCCCCAAGCCCCTCAAAACCCAAAAGCCCTAACCCCGAAAGCCTAAACGCCCGAAAACTTCAGGGGCCGACAGCCCGTGAGGGACAGGGTTTCTTAATGCATGTAGAGGCTGAGCAGGGCACCTTTAACATTTTGGTGTGTGTGTGTGTGTGACCATATATATATATATATATATATATATATATATACATATTTCTACACACACATAATCTTGCCATAAACATGCGGAAGCCCGACAAGGCTATACGGATTCTTGACAAAGGGTTTTTTTAGCTACTAAAAGGGTTCTACAATCTAGGGACGGAAATGCTTAGAATACGGTTTTGGAGGGAGGTGTATTGTGTGTGCTGCCCCCACTCTGCAACAGTTAGATAATATTCATAGCAGACTTATGTATGGCCCTAGTACTTGGAGGATCATGGGACTTAGTAAGTAAGGTTATAAGCACCTTAATTGGGGTTATAAGTATGGTTACCCTAATTATAACCCTAGTTACTAAGTCCCATGATCCTTTAAGTATGACCCCCAATATAGACTATTGCCATCCTAAAGGCCCCAAAGAAGCCACAAGTGCAAACTATCGCCGAAGCTGATCCCCAAACCGCCCAGTCGACAAGAACTAGCAAAACGCCGAAACCCTAAACCCAAAGCCTCTGGTACTATTGGGAGTTTCCGAAAATTAGGAGTACCTTATTTGGGGTCCTTATAATAAGGATCCTGCTATTCAGGGTACTATATTAGGGTACCCTATTCTCGGAAACTCCCTATTCGTAGCTTTGCTAGCATAGTTGGAATTATCAGTAAGACCCTCTAGTATTATTGGAGATCAGCATGATGAGTATAATCGGGACCCGAGCCCGAAGCTACGTGAGGAAGAGGACATCTCCAAGCTGGACCAAATCTGCAGCTCTGTCTCACCGATGGCCAGGGCCGAAGAAATTTGAGTTGGGGCGCCTTTTTGGTGTTTAGGTTTTTGGGTTCAGGGTTTAGGCCGCAGAAGCGTGATTTTGAAGGGCGTTGTATCTCTTAGGGTGCGGGGGTTTGGGGTTGAGTTCTTGGGTTTGGTGGGTTTGGGGTTTGAGAGTTGTTGGTGGTTTCGGGTGCAGGGGCTTATATTGCAGTAGGCATCAATGCTGCACTCAGTGTGATCGTCAGGCCTGTTAGTGCCGCGCAAAATCTTGGCAGTTATGCGAGTAAGCTCTAAACCCTCTCAAACTCCGAAACCCCCTAAACTCGACGGTTTCCCCGAAACCGCCAAGACTCTGAAGCCATAAACCCTGAATCCTCAGTCATAAGGCCCGGGAAGGGTTGCCCTCCAAATCCAAGTGGGATGAGGTCCTCGACTGCTGGCGCCTTGTAGATGGTCAAGCTGCCCCGCTACTGCAGCAGGCTGGGAATGTGGCGCTAAAGGTCTACTTCTAATGGTTTGAGTTTAAGGTTTTGTGATATAGGTTGCATACGCATAGATTGTGCCCGAACCGGCTAACCCTAAGCCTAAGAGACACCCCTTAAGTATGCACAATTCGCAGCCAGAACGGCTTGCATTGCAGTCTTGATTCGTATAGGTTGGGGCCTTTCCAGGGGTTTAGGTTGGGTTTCTTTTCGGCCTTCAGGCTTCCAGTTTTTTGCGGCCTACAGTTTACCTTAACCTACGAGCACCTGCTTTTTGTAGGGTCCCTGAAAACTCGTTACACGGGTTACAGGTTCTTTACCAATAGGGTGTGCTGTCTTAAGATAGGGTGGAAGTCCGAGCTTAACAAAGTCGTCGCATGGATGTTGAGGGAAAGGTGCGGGAGGCAAGCAGCTTGATCAACGTAGCTTCCCCCATCCGAAGCCTGCACTTCCACAAACCTACCGATGGTGTGGCCATCAAAGCTTCAGGGTGGGCAATATCGGAGGCCGCTCTGAGCCTTCATTGGGAAGGGGAGAGACAGCTTGGTTTAGGAAGGACGTGTGGAGTGTCAACATTGGGGCTTCAGTTTAAGCGTATCACAGGGGTTGTTTCCTCACAGCCTTTGGCCTTCAAGTCTAGAGTTGCTTCATTACATGCATGCAGACATATGCCTGCCTTTTTGCAAATAGCTTAGGGTCTCAAAAGCATGCAGTTGTCTCCGCTCCTGCAGACGGAGTTTGGAACTAATTCCTAATCTGGCTTACACTAGGGCTCTGGTTTGTAATGGATACACCGCACTTACGGGATTTTGGTTTCTCATATTGAGCGGCTTTGGATAACTTAGCCACTGTTGCCCAGCACCACGGCAGAGATAGGGGGCTAGTATCACCCGTAGACACAGATTGAACTCAGATTCGAGAGAGAGACAACTTAGCAGTTGGACGACCCCCGTATCCGTCGTGACGATCGCCAAAACCCGCAAGCTCGAAAGGCCTGAAACCCGTAGCTTTGCCTGTAAGCCTTTTGCGGCAGTTAAAAACTTTCTTTGCCACGGTAATTAAGCGTAAGCTCTAAACCCTAAGCCCATATACAGCTGGGGGGCAAAAACACGGCAGCAAGGGCGCCACCTGGGCTGGCGGCACGATGCCAGTGTTGAGTGATCGTGTCTCACCTGCCCTGGCGGTTTAGAGGATTTAGGGTTCAGGGTTTTTGAGTCGTTTATCGTCGGATTTAGGGTGTTGAGTCGTTTGTGTGTGGAGTTCAAAAGTTCTGGGTTTACGCTACAAAGTTTCATGCAGTTGAGGGCTTATGGTTGGTTAAGTAGTCTCAGTTGTGTTACGTTTGGTTCTTGACGGCTTTAACTATAAATCTGGGCCACGTGCCTTAAACCTTCCCGCACGCAGGGGGTTACTGAGCTCTGAAATTTTGAGGCAGTTCGGTGTGCACCGCGTATGCCGAGGTTTCGCGCGCATCAGTGCTTCGTTTCGGAGATCAGAAAATGCTGAATTTTTAGAAATGTTGGATATCGCGGGGTGTCTGTACTTTTCGTCTTTGTTGTTGAGATGCGGGCGATGTGTGTTCACGGTTACGTGGGCATTGTCGAACCTCTAAAATGTTGGAAAACGCAGTGTGTTTGCACTGTCGGCCGATGTTGTTGAGATGTGGGCGATGTGCGTTCAGGGTTACGTGGGTTGTGTTGAACATCTAAGATCATATAGCTGCCCCAAACTCTAAAACACCTACAGTAAGGCTGAAGGATGCATGTCAGCCGCAGTCGCAGGAACGGCAACATGAAAGCGGCCGAACATGTCGTTATTAGCCCCCCCTGCCCCCAAAGCGAAAGCTTCGACCCCAAGAAGAAGGCAACGGAAACCTCTGAAATTTCTGAAAACAAGGCACAGAACCCCCGCCCCTGCATGCTTAAACCCTGTTACCCCAAGTCAACCCTCAGCACAACAACCCACTTTGACCGTAATCAGCTGTAAACCATCGTGAACTAATGAAACCCTAAACCCCAAACCGACTTAGCCAAAATGCTGCCTCACGTCCCTCTTTCCTCGAAGTGTACACGCCCTAGAGTGGAGGAGCCTGATTCGGGGTTGGGATTTAGGGTTCTTCTTCGGGCTCTCAACGATCCGTGGTGTTTTGAGATTTTGGAGGGGCCTAGAAGCAGGGGATGTTGAATCAGGTTCCTACATCCGTGGCTAACGGCCTGGGTTCAAGACGATGCAAGCTGGGGCTAGGGTCTCGCATTGTGGCTTTTTTGTTTTGACAGCAAGCTCCTAGCCCAGTAGCACCGCGAAAATAGAAAGTGCCTGGGGCTATTGAAAAGGCCTATACACATGTCTGAACCGCCAACTTCACCAGAACCCTGCACCATGATGTAGAACGAGTGATAGCTTGTTTAGAGGTCCCGTATCATGCAGAGCCTACTACGGAGTTCATATTGCAGTCGCTTGTTTCCTGTAACTCCCACGTGAGGTGATGACTGGTCCCGCGGGCTCTTTGGCGGGTTGCGTGGCGGAATACAAGTGAGTTGAGCGAAGGCGACAACTAGGCAGATCTCATAAGCCAAAAATAGCTCCCTGAACCCTACACCCTCTAACCCCAAACCCTACACCTCCGCTCTGAAACCCTGAACCCTGTAATCTGAGTCATGAAGAGAAAGGAATCCGGAACTGATAAGTTTCAAAAACTCATGAACCCAAACATAGGCCTTACGAGTAGCTGGTGAGGTTTTCAAAGGCCCACAAAGATCCCTAAATGCAAGGGCTCTCTGTTTTTGACCCCTGCCCCTACCTCCCACAGATAAACTGCGTGTCAGGGATTCGGGAAATTGATTTAGGCTGTAGGGTTTGAGGAAGTTAATTTGAGGGTTTATGACTCATACATGTTTAATCTTTAGGATTTTGGAAGGCTGCTTCAGCAAGCAACCCACCCTGCTCAAGAAGCAGCTCATGATGCAAGAGCCACGAAACTTTAAGCATTTTCAGTCCGTGAACCCTGAAAATCCTGAGCCCACTACGCCGGAAGCATGTCGAGCCCTAAAGCCTATTGCAAACCAGAGTCCCGACCGTGTCGGGTCACTTTCCTACTGTAGTGCCGGAATAACTACCAAAACTGTTGCTGAGGGTTCCTTGCTGTAGTTATACCACCAGGGTCCCCAAATTCCACCCGAATACCTATTCCAATCATGAGGGCCCCAATACTATGTACACCTCGCCTGCTCTGTTCGTTTGAACCCAAGCCTGAAGTCTTTGCCATCTGTCAAACACAACAGGACTGCCATGATCTGTAGACGAAAATAGGGTTTGATGATAGGCTGCTCGGAAAACCCAAGGAGTAGTATTATCAATGATTCAGGCTTCTCTCTGACACGTATCTAGGTTAGGATTTGCGAACGTACCCATCCTTGCAAGGTTTCAGAAGCATCATGGACATGCAGAAACTCAGCACCGCAAACCCGGAGCCTCCATGTAGTTCTTCCGCCACATCAAATGTCTCAAGTAAGGTACCAGACTTACCACCACACGGTCTCCGACATCTTCCTGCCGTTGTCTGCGGCCCCCCGGCCTTATCCAGAGGATACAAAAAAGCAGAGTGCACATGTGTGGTTGTCAAAATTAGGGTCCCTTTTTGGGTACCCTACATATTAGGTGCCGTACTATAATAAGGACCCCAAAAGGGACCCTAGTTTCGACAACCACCCATATGTGTTATTGCTGGTGCTCCGAAACGTACGTAGTATGGATGTTGACGCTTCGCACCAAACCGGCTAGTGGCGTTGATTCCTCAGTCAGAGGTGTGTTTGGTTTAGGGTTTAGGGTTTAGGGTTTAGGGTTTAGGGTTTTGGGTTTAGGGTTTAGGGTTTAGGGTTTAGCTGCTTGGGTTTCTTGCTGCGCCTCTCTGAAGCGCCAAGGCCCAAAACACCGTTTTGATCCCCCAGCACCCTCAGCGATAAACTCCTCCACACCATATTTCCGAGAAAGCGAGCATCAGGGACAACCTAACTGCTCCTGTTTGCACAGGATCTGCTTGCAGGGCAGCAGAAGAAGTGGTTTGCGGTTTCTCAACCCTTAACCTTGCGGGCTTCCTTGGGCTTGTGGGTTGAGGGTTGCTGCTTCGGGAGTCTTTTGTCAAGGTTTTCTGGGTTCAGGCAGTCTTCACGGCATGCCAGCACGAGTCAGAGCAACTCTACAATAGGGCATGCCTGCAGGACCCAGAACAGTAAGTCAGTAAGTCTCAGTAGCCTACCCAGATGGAAAGCACACTTTCGAATCAGGTATTCTATGCCCTAAACTCTAAACTCAAGAATGTCGAGCTTAGAAACCCTATTGTGCACGGGTATTCAGGAGCAGGGTTCGTGGAGGATGAGCTGTGTGTTGAACGTCGAAATCCAGATTCGCTGGCACTTGCAGGGTTTTAGTGCACATGCTTGGTGTAGAGGTCTAAATACGTCTCCAAGCCATACCTTAGTATAGCTTGTATATCTTTATACCTACTATGACTTTACTCAGCCCCATTTTAAAATTGAAATCTAGCCTACTTCACTATCCCGTAAGGAAGACCCGCGATGCCCGTATTCTAATCATGAAGGCCCCCAGAAATGATGGCCGGACTGAAGCAGACCAAAGGATCATCCCATCAGAAGTTGTTTCGTAGTAGCTGACTAGGTAACCTGTATCCTACCATAATTGAAACGGGTAACCTTCTTTGGGCTAGGGTACTCAGCCCCTAAGGTTTAAGGTTCAGGTCAGTTGTCTTTGAAAATCAAACATACCATGACGAACGGGTCAAATCCACGCGAACAAGCGATCTCCTGACAGACTGCGCTAGCAAAGTCGCGACAATGACGATACAAAGCGGCAGCTGCAGCACTCCACCCCACCCTTAAACCCTCGACCCTATAAACTTAAACCGCAAAGCCTCAAACCTAAAGCCTGATCTTAGAGCCCCAAACCCAACACCTCAGCCTTCTTTGCAACCAAATCCCGAAACCCGAGACCCTAAGGCGATCAAGATCACGTTAAAGCTGCGCGAAGAGCTCTCCCGAGTACCGAGCTTCGAGGAGCGCTCATGAGTTGCTACTTAAGAGAGGGTTCCCTTTAAGCGCCACTGTAAGGGTTACCTAGTAGTCGAGTAGGTAGCCTTAAACCTTTTTGGGGTAGTATAGTCCCTGTACAATCCCGTCTTAACCAAAAAGGTTAGCCTTTTTTGTTCCCCATGATACAGGTCAACAAAAGGGCTTGATTTACTTGAGGGGTTCCTGCAAGGGGTCCTTAAAGGGATTCTGCTTGGGTTCCTAGCAGGGGGTTTCTATTTGGGTATATACTCTGGGTTTGGGGGATTAGGAGGGTAAGCTTCGGGATGCTTGGAGTTTTGGAGTCCGGGATGAAGATGCAGAAAGGTTCGGGGAGATTGGGCAGTTTCGCAAGGGGCTTCTCCCATGCAAGGCCTAAGCCTTTCTAAGCTTTGGGGGCTGGGTTTAACGAGCCTTGAACCCTGTTTGGTGTATATACAAGTAGCCGGATACTTGATGCCTATGTAATCCTGACAACTTCCGTCCTGGAAGACCCTGCTCTGAGATGCAGGGAGTGATGGAACTGGTTCACTAATAACTAATATTTTGCACAAGCCCAACTCACGACCGCTATCCGAATGATCGACCACCACAGTCCCCAGACGCAATCCCAATGCTGGAGAGGGCACGGGTTGATTCTACTCGCAACTGATCATCGTCGGTCTGTCGACCTGAGCAATGGAACCCGAGGCCCTAAACCCTATGTAAACCTTAAAGACCCAACTCATAAAAGCTGAACTTCGAGCTGGTGACAGGACGCCTCACATCTGAACAAGAAGGGACCGGGATAAACTTCCCAAGACTCAACGCAGAAAGGACGCCCCACGGCCGCCTTCCGAAACTTGAAAGCCTGCTGGTAGGATGCCGCATAACTGATCCCGAAATCCTAAATCGGAGTTTCCGAAAATAGTGCACCCTAATATCGTACCCTAGATAGCAGGATCCTTATTATAAGGACCCCAAAATCTTTGTACCCCTAATTTTCGGAAACTCCCAAATCCTGCTGGCAGAAACCTGGCCTACTGGACAACAAGCTGATCTTTGCGACATCCTTCAACCTCATCAAGTTCCTCTACGTCGATCTGCATCTGTTGCAGCACTTAAGGCTGTGGGGTGTGAGGCTGCCGGGAACTGTAGAGTTTGAGGTTTTTGGGAGAGCAGGTTGAACGTTTTTGAGGTCCGGAGTTTCAGGGTATTGGAGGTTCTGGCTGTAGGCGCCAAGAGTCATGGGCCGTAAGGCATGAGCTTGCGGGTACGGAGCCTGCCTTGAGATATCGGCAACTTTCACCTACTGATGTGGCACAATACACAGGAATCCTACACTTGGTTCAATGAGGACCCACAAGGATTTACGACGCCCCTACAGCCGAACACCAAGCGATTCCAAGTGCTACAAGGGTTCCATGGATTTCATCAGGTTGTTTTTAGGGATTTGTAAGGGCTGTATACGGGGTTTCAAAGCAAGCTGCGGAGAAGAAGGAGAAAGTTCACCATCCTACAGACCGGGAGAAACAGCGAGATGGGATTTACGAAGAAGAACACCACAGAGGAAGGGGGCCCAGGAATAGGGTTTAGCATTTATGTCGCCGCCCTTGCACCTTGCAGAAATCTTAAACTTAACTTATCAACATCTCAGCAAGGCTTCTGGAACCCTGACACAAACCTTTCAAAAGCAGAAGCAGTATAGAATAGAAAGATATTTAGACCCGCAGTCGAACCCTCGTGAAAGAACTTAAGATATACACCTCAAAACTAAAGCCCCATATCCTAAAAAAAAACCTAAACCCAAAATCCTTAAAAACCCAAACAAATCCTGAAACCCTGAACCAAAAACCCTGAAGCCAAAACAACGGCCTAAACAAAACTTCTTCAAGAGCCCCTTTACTCAATGCCCTAGGATTCAAGGGGGTTTAGGGTTTAGGGGAATTCCTTGGGATTCCTGCATTTTAAGGCCACAGCGCGTAGCACGGTGTGTTTTAGAAGCTCAAAGGTTGTACGAGCTGCCACAGGTGTCAAGCTATGCGCTGCCTGTGTCACATCCAGACTAGCCCGACAGAGGCATGATGCTACTTGGAGGATCATGGGACTTAGTAAGTAAGGTTATAAGTACCTTGATTGGGGTTATAAGTATAGTTACCCTAACTATAACCCGAGTTACTGAGTCCTATGATCCTTTAAGTAGTCAGTCTGACAAGAAGACCGCCCACCAGCTCTGGGAGGAGATACAGAAGAAGCGCAAAAAGTAAGGTCAGCCTTACGTTCCTCCGGCCGAAGCCACTGACAAGGACGTGAGGTCTGCCTAGGACTCTTGGAAGAAGAAGGCGAAGAAGGCGAAGATCGGCGAGTCCCACCACCTCGCCGTCTTCTCCGGCGATCTCATCCGAGAGGAGTCGGCCACCACCAAGCTCTGGCTGGTTGGTCGGTCAGAGTTATGTTCCAGCATGCCTCAAACCTAATCTAATCATCAGGGGCTGATTGTATTGAAGTCTAGCGTTAGCAGCCCTTGTAGAGGCCTTTAACGGAACCCGTTAAGGGAGCGCTGTTCTTAAAATATTAAACAGGCCTTAATCTACCCTAATCCCGCAACCCTAAAGCCACTAAACCCAAACCATAGACCCCTAAACTCCCAGACCCCTGAACCCTAAACCCCAAACCCTGTACCCAACCCTTTCAAGGCAACCTATCAGTAAGGACCTGATAAAGGACCCGAAACCCCAAAACCTAAAGGTAATTATCATGAAACCCCGTATAATGCCCCAAATATAAGCCTTAACCTCTAAACCCTAAACCCCAAAAACCCTAAAAGCCGTAAGCTCCTGAATCCAAAAAACCTTAGAGACCGAGGTCGACCGGCGAGGTCTTCATCTTCACCCGGAAGCCCTGGGCCCCTTTTGAGGTGGGCGACTCCTGGGTGGCTTCAGGGGCTTTAGGGTTTAGGCGGGGGCGGGGGATCTTTAAGGTAGGCTACATAGGGGCTTAGGGCTTAGTGGGTATGGGATTTAGAGCTTAGAGTTTAGGGGGGATGGGAGTTGGTTTCGGGTTGAGGGCAATGCTCCCTTTGAGGGCGCTTTCCTTGAGAGCCGGGTCCCCAACTTAAAGGATCATGGGACTTAGTAACTCGGGTTATACTTAGGGTAACTATACTTATAACCCCAAATACGGTACTTATCACCTTACTTACTAAGTCCCATGATCCTCCAAGAAGGCGGCGGTGCCCTCGGATGCCAAGAAATGCGATGGCTTTGCCAGGCCGGGCTGCGCGTCTGCGCTCTCTTCACCTGGGCTCTTCTTGAGAGTTTTTTTTTCGCGAATTTTAGGGATTACCGAATTTCTTGGGGATCCTTATAGTATCCTGCTATTTAGGGTACTAGATTGTCCCCACATGTTCGGAAACCCCCCTGTTGAGGAACCTAACCTAAGTTGCCATAATAATGATAAACACGATGCAAAAAATTGGAGTAGGGACTATAGATGGTTTAGCTCCTTGCTACACCGAAATTGCCATAGTAAGGAAATCGTACTTTTGCCATACATCCCCGTTATGGTAACTTGAGTTCAGCTCCTGAACAAGATCCCGATTAAGAAAGAAGGTCTCCTACAGTGGTTCCTTTGAGAACTCTGCACGGGTACCGTGAGAAGGTTTAAAGTTTAGGGTTTAGGGGTTTGGTGTTGCCGGGTGCACCATACATAGGAAACGATATTCATTTCTGTTTTAACATCAACGCAAAGGGATGCTAAACAATCACACAGTACAATTACGGGTCTATAGCAGTCTTGCTGCTTTAGTATTTAGGGCTTGTTTTCACGTGTTAGGATTTCAGGATTTCGGGTTTAGGACTTTTGGTCAGGCTTTTGGATGATAAGGGTGCGTGCTCATGGGTTTAGTGAGCGTGTTGGGGGTGATGGGTTGGGGTTTTTGGGGCTCCAGGGTAAGGTACTCGCGTTACCTTCGGGAACAGACGATCGAACAGACAGGGATTGGGTAAGCCACAACGCGGTATTCAAGCAAGACTGCTGTGGCTCCAAAAACTCCGCAAGAATGGTCTCTGCGGCAAACAACAACATCCCCTCCGTCGCAGAGTGCAGTCTGTAGAAAGAGGGGAAGCTTCTCCTGAACGGCCCGAGACGAGATGGCGCCTGTCCTAATCCCTACCTTAAACTACCAAACCCTACTTTTGTGTAGGTTCTTGTTATAAACCCTAATATGGGGTTTATAGGGACCCTACAACAAAGTAGGTTTTGGTAGGCCCTACAGGAGCAACATTCCGACCCCTGTGTTGCCCTTAACGGCGCAGGTGGTTCGAGGAGTACGTACGGCGACTGGAAAGCAAGTGGTATGTGATGGACTTCATCTCACCGCAGGTGGGTCCCGATCTTAGTGAAGCCTTTCAGTGAAGCTTTCTTTAACAGGTCTCATAAAGATAGAAGGCTAACCATGAGGTCTTGATATAAATTATCATGCGCCAACCTTTCTTCATTTTTCCGTAAGAGTGCACTGAGCGTCAGGGGAAGTGCGGGTGTCTCTCTTCGGTGTCGGCCAAGAGCCTGAGGCGTTTGTAGCATGAGCGTGGCAAGGCCCTACGAAGTGGAGGTCAATGCAGCTCCTGCTACTTCCCGTCCCGCGCAGCTTAAATTATTACGAACCCAAAAAAAGCACATAAGCATAAGCTTTTTATGGGGATATGACTACCTTATTGGGCTTCATTATAAGGGAGTCTATATGGGATATCCCTATCCTCATTTTTGCTTATGTGCTTTTGGGGGGGCCCTATCAAAGCCGATAGCCTACATCCAAAAGCCTTGCTGCCACTGTCATACCGCAGCTGGAATCAGGTTCCTTACAAAGGTTCTCTGAGGGATGTGGGTGGTTGTCAAAATCAGGGTCCCTTTTTGGGTAATCACCCTAAATATTAGGTGCCGTATTATATTAGGGACCCAAAAAGGGACCCTAATTTTGACAACCACCCATGTGTCATGGTGGTCTAGAATCTACGGGGCTTCAGACTGCTCTTTCTACGTACTCCGACCCCAACTTGGCTATATACAAGCGCCTTTCGATACTTCAAGTAGTTGGGTCTATATTAGTTGGGTCTAGATTGGTTAGTATCGTGGAGGCAGAAATGTTGACGTTTTAGGAGTGTTTCGCACGTCAGCCCAGCTAAACCCCCTAAATACAGTAGCCCCAACACGACCCCCATCAACCCGCCAAACTCCTTGAAGCGAGTCAAAGAGTCAGCGTCGATCAAGAGCCAATCCTTATAGGGGCTGGCCATGTCACGGTAAAGGAAATCACGACCTGCTCGAATGTAGAAGCCGGAAGAATTATTTAACAATACTAGCAATCATATCTAGTATACTACTACTAGTATTTGTAATTATAATACAAATACTAATAACTATCCGTCGGGTTCCCTTCCTAGAATCTCGTGGAGTGGCGCTAGTCATGAAGCCAGCAATGCAGGAATCGCCGATGTCTCTGGGCATCTCACTGTTCCCGGCTACTCCACCGGAGATGACGGTTCCTTCGGCAGGGAAGCTAGGGTTTACAGGGACCTTGTCTAGTATATCAAAACCCGAGTCTAGCTAACCATGCGAACCTTCATGTTTCTGCGAATGTATAAGTATGTAGGTTTCGGGGCACTTCAAAGCCCGACCTGGGATCCTTCTAAACCCGACTTTGATCGATGCTTGGGTCTCTTGGTTCTCTCCAACGTACGGATCAAGCCAAGTGCGTCACCACTTCAGCCCAGGTGGGGATATCCGCTATGGTCCAGGGTTGAGGCTTGAGGGTCAAGATACAGTGATTGGGCTATGTAAAGCCAGATCCTGCTATTCAGGGTTCTATAAATTCCACGCCTTGTTAAACCCTAAACTTTGACGCTCCAAGGCAAAGCAAAAGCATGCCACCCGCAAGCCCGAAGCCTCGCAACACCAAAATCTCGACACACTGGAGTCGACATCATTGGAAGTGGTTTTAGAATGATGAAAATACCAACGACAACAGCAACAACAACTACTACTACTACTACTACCACTATTACTACCACTATTACTCCTACTGCTACTCCTACTGCGACTGCTACTGCTACTGCTACTGTTACTGCTACTGCGCGATGATCCCGTCACGTGACCCTGCCTTGTTGCAGGTTTGTGTCACAAGAGGAGTCGAAGTAAGGGCGAGCCCCATCTACATGCCCGAGCACGATGCAGGCAGGAAGTATGGGTTACGGTGCCAAGGTGAATGAGGCTTCAAAGTTTTGGGCTTTTGGTTTGGGGTCACGGGACTCAGAACATGGAGCCATCGAGACCAGCTGTATGTTCATGCATCTAATATCCAACAGCCCATCCAATTGTTTGCCCTGTCTGTCTGTCTGGAAATAGAGAAATAGCTGTAAACGTATACCATCAGGCCCCTACATTGTTGAATTATTGGGGCCCTTCTTTGCCCTGTCTGTCTGGAAGTAGAGGCCCTCCGCTTAAACCTGACCTTGTCCCTGGCCGCCATCTATCGCCGAAGGGGCGACCTAGCCCTGCCTAGGCGCCCTAGATGGGAGTTTCCGAAAATTAGGGGTGCCTCATTTGGGGGGTCCTTAGAATAAGGATCCTACTAGTTAGGGTACTATAGTAGGGTCCCTGTTGATGCAATACAGCTGGGCTTACGTCAGGAAGGGCAGCATCATAGTTAGGGTCACTCCCCTGTTCCATGGCAGGCACACACTAAGCTTCACACCTTTTTCACGACCTTTGGACTGTTGCTGTTATTGTTGCTCGCCGGTTCATCTAAATGTACAAGGCATGATCACGGCTGCAAACAGCTGACTCAAGGGGCATTCCGTAGCCCTCCCTTGAACCATCACAGTGGCAAAGCACCTTTATGAGCTCCACTCATAATCTATACATCGTGCTTCTTTCCTACTCAAGGACTTCATTCCACGACCGGCTTTTGTGCATCGACACTCCTCCTCGGTTGGCGTGGTGCCACTTCAACCGTCTTCCTGATGCACATTATCCCTCTGGAAGGACTTGACCATGCGTCACCTTGTAGTAGAGAGGGAAGTTGCCGTCGCAATAATAGCAGACCTGCATCTGCTTCAACTTGCTTTTGTTGGCATGCCTCAAACCATGGCAATTTGGCACTGCATGGAGTCTATCACCATGCTCGGACATCACGAAGCTCTTCCTCAAACGACGATACTGCCCATTCTGCGCATGCTCCAAAGTGGCTCTGAGATCTGGATCATCCTCTGCCCGTGTAGTAGCCGCCGCACTGTACGTAGCAGGTGTAGAAGGCGCCGCACTGGATGTAGCTGGTGTAGTAGGCGCCGTGCTGAATGTGGCCCCCACACCCAAAGGTTCCACAGGCGCTTCCTTCCCACTGGGCACCGTCGCCTTTGGCTTTTCTTCAAACATTGGGTCTGAAGAGCTCGCACTCATTGAAGCCAACTCTTCTTGAAGCGCCTTTGACGCTTGATTCCGGATCCTCATAAGCCTCCGGGCCTTTGCCAAGGTCACCTCATCATCTCCAAAGAGCTTGTGTGCCACCCACTTCACCGTCTCCCAGATTCCTAGCAAAGCGACACCCCCGATCAGCAACAGCCCATAGAACTCAAAGCTTCCATCATAGTCCAAAGGCTTCTTGTTGTAGATCTCTGCCGCCTCCGTTGTGGGAACACTGTTCATCAGCATGAGCCACACAAGCAACCTCAGCATGTCGTAGTACTCGGGGCCTTGCAACGACTTGATGATCACCTCTTGGTCCTTTTTCTCGAACTCGTCTGCCGTGCACATACCCCACAACCTTCTTAGCTCGACCAGCCTTGCTACTGGCACCGGTTTCGTCCCCATGTCCGCCACCTGGACTTCACCTGGGGTGTGTATCACCTGGATTCTGCCCTCACTGATCTCCATCCTGAGGTGGCGTGCCTTCACCTTGAGGTGCCGGGTCTTCCATGATCCCGGTGAAGTCGTCGCCAAACCACAAGCCGCGGTGTTGTCCACCCTCAAGACCAGTGGCTCCTCCATGTCCTCTGTGGACACTTCGTTCACCCACGCTTGAAGTCCTGCAGCTGTCGACGCAGCTGTTGTTGGCACCTCTGCTGGCACCACATTCACTGGCTCGGTTTCCTCGCTTCCTCCTCCCTTTGGGCCTTTTGGGCTGCCACCTCCACGCCTTCCACTGGTGCCTCCCGTGGATGACTGGGGCGAGTCCCCAACTCCCATAGCCTTCTGCTGAAGCTCCTTTCGAGTGGGGCACGAGGCCGACAAATGCCCCTTGGCTCCACACTCGTAGCATCGATCTCTTCGCTCAGCTTTCGAGAGGTCCTTCATGGTGTGTTCAAAACGACAGCCCTTTCCCCGTCTACAGCCTTCATCTGACAAGTAGAAGCGGCACGGCTTTGCCCCACCCTTGCCATCTTTTGTAGGCGACGTAGGCAACTGAGGCTGCTCGTTTTCCATTGCCCGCAAACGAGGAGCTGGCGTAGGATCCATTCCTTGCTTTGCGTTCTTCTTGTACCCCATCTGCTCGAACTCAGCCAAGAACGCTCGGTGGATGGCCAAAACGTTGTCCTCCGACGGCAGGAAGTCCACCTTCAAGTGCAAAAGATTCATGCGAAACCCCACGTCCGAGTGATCAGCCACCGGCTTCTTCAACATCCCGTCTAACGCCTTCACTAGGATGGAAGGGTCCGGAATGCTGAGCTTCAAATCCTTGGCCCTCTGGGTGGTAGCACCAGGCTCCGGGGTCTCAATCCTCTTCAAAAGCTGTCCCTTCTCCATAGCGCTCCCGGGACGGTACAACACCATCAAGCGAGCCAGCCCACACATCCAAGGTACTTCTCGCCCTCGAAGCGATCAGCTCCTTCTTGACGTCCTCCGGTACTGCTCCTAGGAGCACTGAAGCGCCCCTTCTATCGACTCTGGTCCACTTGGCCTCTTCAAGTCCCGAAGACGGCTTAGGCTTCATAGACAGCCTCGCGTACTGGTCCGCCTCCCGGTACTTGTCGTAGTACTCCTGAGCATCCTTCACAACCAGTTTCCACCATTCTGCACTACTGGCAGAGATGTCTCCCATTGTGTGCTCCAGGCAATACAGCCAATCCCCAAAGTCCACTGAAGAACTGTCCGAAATCTCTGGCAACTTTGGTCCCTCCACCACCTTGCTCAGCTCCTCTTGCTTTCCTCCACCTTTGATCACCTTCTCCAAGCCTTCCAGAAGACGGGACATTGGGTCCGAAGAACCCGGTGGTGTAGCACTGAGACCAATTGGCAAAGCACTCGTGGCATTGGTTGTTGCTGAAGAAGCATTGTTCGCAAGCCCGATCCCCCTGTGGTAGAAGATCCTGTAGGCAACTGTGGGATAGCCGTTGTGGTAGTACCCGACTGTAAGCCCGATCCCCCTGCCATAGAAGATCCTGTAAGCAATACTGGTACACTTGTTGTGGTAGTTCCCGATTGTAAGCCCGAGCCCCCGCTGGTAGAAGGTCCTGCAAACGTTGGAGTCTCCGACGACATAGAGGTCCTTGCCAATAAGCCCGATGCCCTTGGCGTAGAAGATCCTGCTTGTCTCTCCGTTGTGGCAGTCCTTTCTGCAAGATACCCTCCCAGGGCTCTTGGCGGACCTTGTGGCTGTGCCCACTGCTCAGGTCTTTGATCCTCCAGCTCTCGGGTCACTTGCAGGCGCTCCATTTCTCGCCTAAGCTCACTAGCTTCCTGTCGAGAAGCTTCCAACTGCTCCACAACACCACGTAGCTGCACTGCTTCATAAGTGCTCCCTCCGCTTCCGCCAGAGCTTCCTTCCTAACCTCGCTGTTGTTGTCCATAAAGCAATGGGGCACGCTGCTCCATCCTCTGAAGCTGCTCCCTTTGACCGCGGGACAGTAGAGGTCGATCACTGTGAGTCTGGTTCATCCACACTCCCTGCTCTGACTCCGGCGACCCCATCGCTCGGCCACCACTCGGAGGCGACCCAAGCGGCGAAGGATTCCACATAGGGGCAGGCTGCTGCGCCCTCACCTCCTGAAAGAAAGCCCCCAGCCTTTGAATGCTGGAGCCGTCCGTCTTGTTGCCATCATACTCCACGAAGCCTGAGCAGCGTTCATCTGCCCATAAGGCACTCCCATCACTTCTGTGTGACTGCGTCTTGACTCCTCCACTGAGCCCTGTTGGCCTTCCATCGGCCAGCTAGCCCTGCCCGGGCTTTGGCCTGTAGCCAATGCCACAGCCATCGCCCTTACAGCAATTCCAGCTTCTTGTGCCTGTGCTGCTCCCTGACCACCAGCCACCATTGTGGTGTCTCCAGCATGTTCTTGGGCATCATCAGCGGCAGCTGCGTGTGCGTGAGTTGGGCTCATACCCTGTTGATGCAATACAGCTGGGCTTACGTCAGGAAGGGCAGCATCATAGTTAGGGTCACTCCCCTGTTCCATGGCAGGCACACACTAAGCTTCACACTTTTTTCACGACCTTTGGACTGTTGCTGTTATTGTTGCTCGCCGGTTCATCTGAATGTACAAGGCATGATCACGGCTGCAAACAGCTGACTCAAGGGGCATTCCGTAGCCCTCCCTTGAACCATCACAGTGGCAAAGCACCTTTATGAGCTCCACTCATAATCTATACATCGTGCTTCTCTTCGTACTCAAGGACTTCATTCCACAGCCGGCTTTTGTGCATCGACAGTCCCCTATTTTTTTGGAAAATCCTACTTTGAGAAAGCCAGAGGAGCCCTTGACTGCGCCCTTGTAAGAACCCTCCTGCGAACCTCATCTTTCGAAACGAAAGCCCTATAGGTTGGGTACGGCCCCCACTCCGCAATAGTTGAATAATATTCATAATATAGATATACTAGGAGCTTAATTGTAGCTCTAATATAGACTCTTACTGTATGGGGGGGCAGTACCAAACCTACAGGGTTTATAACGCTGAAACCCGAAGCTTCTACAAGATGGACCTTTTCCATCGCCTTACTCATAACGCTGAGAACTTGCTGCAGGAATCACCTCTACTATTTTGGGTGCTCCTTTTTTTGTAGCATAATGGGCCCCAAAACCCTTTCATAATTATTAAGGCCCCTGCTATAGAACCCCAGCTATAGGATCCCTTATAGAACCCTTTAAAAGAACCCTATTCTAATTATCAAGGCCCCTATAGGAAACTGCTGCAGGACGGACTCACTGCTGCTGCTACTACTACTGCTACTGCTACTACTACTACTACTACTACTACTACTACTACTGCCACTACTACTACTACTACTACTACTACTACTAATGCTACATTGCCTTCCAACGCTGCAAGCCTGCTGCAGGATGGACTTACTCTATCGCCTTACGTTTGGTTGGCACCTCGACGGAGCGAGGCTTTGAGCGTTGTCAGTGCCTTGGCAGCAAGCCGGCTTTCGCGTAATCTACTTAAAGGATCATAGGACTTAGTAACTAGGGGTATAATTACGGTAACTATACTTATAACCCCAATTGAAGTACCTTACTTACTAAGTCCCATGATCCTCCAAGTGGGAATCTACTTGGAGGATCATGGGACTTAGTAACTACAGTTATAAGTACCTTGACTGGGGTTATATCCACTTATAAGTATAGCTACCTGATTTATAACCATAGTTACTAAGTTCCATGATCCTGTAAGTAGGAGCCTTGATAATAGATTTAATTGTCACCTATACTATTGTGGGGGGGTGGGGTCTTATTATAACTATAGTAGAATGGGCCCCAAGACCCTAGTCTAATCATTAAGGCCCCAAAATTACCACAGGAGTGTGTTATAGGGTTGCAGGGGTTAACAAGTCGTCTAAGCCAAAGCTACTAGGTGCACAGCGTTTGGGGCTTACGAAACCTAAGCCTTACATCTTCACAACTCTTGGAGTGTCATGAACAGTCAAAGTTCCACTAGGCGCCGAACAGTGGCAATTGAGGACACGTGTTGAGGCCTCGGGGATTCTCCAGTGCATTGGGATGAGGCTTTCTAAACCTGAACCTTAAACCTTAACCCATGGATCTGAGGACTTCTGACATTTGAGTTTAGGGATCCCAAGTTTCCGGGTATAAGGTCCCGTCAAGTGGACTGACATGGAGACTCCTAAAACCTTGGACCCTAGATCCCATATCCTGCGTGGTTCCTCTTCCCAAGGCTTTTATCGCGGCGCTGGGAAATCGAAGAGGTCCGGGCTAGGGTTTAATGCATCAGTATGTTTCGGGAGTTATAGGGCACCTGCGTTTAGTGCCGGGCTTGGGGTCAACAGTCAGTACAAGAGACATTCCTGACGTGTTAGGCAGGGACGTACTATAGGGGCCTCAGTAATTGCCAGTACAGCTTTGGGGGCTACGAGCACTTAAGCCAGTTTGGGCTTGGGCTCTCCGGTTTCACCCTGTAATGTAGGGAGCAGACTAGTTAATCGTAGCAAAAGTAAATCCTCTCGGTCCGTCATTTTCTCGTAGAGTATATTATATCCCAAAACCTTGTTCCAATTATTAGAGCTGTTATGGTATCTCTTGGGTCAAACTGGGGATCGTGTTTCATGTCCATGCCAGGTGTCTCTTGGACTCTTCACGGAAGGACAAACCCATGCAGATATCAAGAAGCGCCAGAGACTACGGATTTGGGGTTTAGTGGATGCTTGGGGTTGAGGGTCTAGAGGTTTATGGGTTAGTGTGACAATTTCAAAACGAATCCGAAAGTCGAAGATGAGTGAAACAACGAGAACTCCCGAAAGCCACTGAGCCTCCCCCAAAAGGAAGGGCGACCCGAGCCAGAGCAAGTGGAGGGTGAGGGAGTGCGCCTTGGCGAGTGCGCCTGTACATGGACCCCTAAGAACCTACCTGTTTAAGATTCCTTAATATGGTTTCTTGATAGAAGTCTTGAAAAAAGGGTAGGTTGTTTTTGGGTTGAGGTAGGGCTCGGGGTTTTTGAGGGTTGATGGGTTTGGGCTTTAGCAATTTAGGTTTGGGGTTTGAGGGTAAGGGTCTAGGCTTTGAGTGTTTTGGGCGTGTGGGGGTTCTGACTTGTAGGCTTTTTCATGTAGGGTTCTGAAAGCTAGTGGTACTTTGCCTTCGCGTTCCCAGTTGTAGCTAAGTATATTATATACAGCCCCAAAACCTACTATTCAGGCCCCTGAAAAGATGTTATTTGGGTTTAAGCTTGAGGCCGCAAGGGCGCAGGGTTCATGCGTTGCGGGGACCCTGTCTTTCATGCAAAAGGGATTGAAGGATTCCCATAGGGTGGGTGCTGCATCCGAGGCAGAGTCACGGACATGCCTAAACATCACAACCCTAAACCCCTAAACCCTAATTAGACCCTAAAGCCTCTCCGTAGACGATGGGCTCTTTGGGAGTTGAAGGGTTTCAAAAAACTATAGTAAACAATTTTCGGGTAAACCGGTAAGCCCTGAACTGCAAAGGGTACACCTTAGAGGGCGGCAGGCGGAGCATGCTATTGGCTTCGGTGACGGTTTAGGAAGGTAAGCTTGTCAAGCCCCATGAATCCCATGAAAGGGATTCAAAAGTCTGGGGGCTTTGGGGGTTTAGGACGGCAATTTCGGGGATTGAAAACACTGAAAGCAGTATCCCTTGTAGCCAACACCTTGTTCTAAGCATTCAGTCCACTACATTAGGGTCGCGAGGGTCTCCTTGGCGGATCCCCGAGCCCCGACGCCATGCTCCGTAGAAGTCACAACCACTTTGTCTTTGCAATCTGGGAGTTTCCGAAAGTTAGGGGTAATTACCTCGTTTTGGGTTCCTTATAATAATGATCCTACTATTTAGGGTGCTTTCCTAGGGTCCCTGTTATCCAAGGATCGGACTTTTCCCTATACTCGTGGACGGCGGCTGGATCGTCAGCCGCGAAAGCGCAACTTGGACCAAACCGAGTGCAGGTACACTCCGCCGGAAACCCTAAGCCCTGACTGCCCGCATTAACCCTAAAAGCCCTAAACCCTAAACTCCGAAACCCTCAACACCCAAACATACACTCAAACTTTCAGCTTCCAAGTTTGTTGTCCCAAGCTTTGCGACCTGAATGTTTTTCAGTTTTGGGAGTCAGAGCGGACAGTAAAATCGTAATCCCTAAACCCTGAAGCCATGATGAGCCTCTGGGGTTAAAGTTGATGTAGGGGTCGGAAGAATTCAAACATTCTTCCTCAACTTAGGGTTTATCTTCATACCCGTATATTAAGATATTTCCCGGAAAACCCCGTTCCGATTATTGAAGGCACCTGCATATGTACAGCATCCGGAGCCACAGTTCCTCTAAACCCTAAACTCTACGCCCCTAAACCCCCAAAGCCCTAAACGCCAAACCCAAAGGAACCCTAATTCTATTTATCAAGGCCCCTATATTTATAGTACCCTGATAATATTCCTTTTAGTAGTTCTTATAGGCCTCTTTAAAGGAACCTTAATTCCATTTATCAAGGCCCCTATATCGGACCGCCTTACCAGGGCTACCTTATTTTGGGATCCTCATAATAAGGATCCTACGATTTAGGGTGCTATTTTGGGGTTCCCTATTTTCGGAAACTCCCATATCGGACCGCCTTACCAGGACCCTCATGGCCAATACCAGACGCGGGGTCGGTCGGACGGCTTCTTCCGATATCAAAGCTGTGCCTGGGCATCCATTCGAGGGGCCTGACTGGGTTCCTTTAAAGGGTTCTATAAGGGATTTGTAGTTGGGGCTCTACATTAGGGGCCTTAATAATTAGAATAGGGTTTTGGGGTATTTGTTAACGGATGTATAGTAAGGAACCCGCAAAATAGTATTGGTAATTATTTAGAACTCTGTATTACGAGAGTTACTCTGAGCGCATTACAAAAGTTATTGACAGGAATGGAATACTAAACTTGTACAGGCCATCAGGACATGATAGGACAGTGCTGGGACTTCGTAGGTAAGGTTACAAGCCCTGTACGTGCGACTATACGTGCCCGAGATGAAAGTAAGCATATCGTAACTCCAGTTGCTAGGTCCCATGATCCTTTCATCTAGGCTTGAGAAGGCTGTTGCATGGGAGGTATTTGTCATTTTCTCTCCGGTGCCTGGTTGCTTCTGAAGTGTTTCCTTGTTTGCTTTCAGAAGGGTCGATCCTGTTTGCTTTGTGGTTTCTTTGCTAGAGATCGTCGACAATACGTCTTTGCTTACTTCTACTCGGCGTAGACGTCTGTCATAATAAGTATACTTCCCAAAGGCTGATGCAAGAAGATGCGTCTGAGGCGTTCATCGCTCAAAGGCGTGAGGGTGATAATAGTAGTAGTAGTAGTAGTAGTAGTAGTAGTAGTAGTAGTAGTAGTAGTAGTAGTAGTAGTAGTAGTAGTAGTGGTAGTGGTAGTGGTAGTGGTAGTGGTAGTGGTAGTGGTAGTGGTAGTGGTAGTGGTAGTGGTAGCAGTAGTAGTAGTAGTAGTAGTAGTAGTAGTAGTAG